TTCTCCGCCCTCCCCTCCCCGTCCTTAACCCGCCGCTGCGTCTGCTGCTCTGCCCGCCGCGTGGTGCATGCTGTGCCCCGTGCAGGGCTGCGCCTGCTGCCTCGGTGGGCGTGCTCGCGTGCACCTCCTCGCTCGTTTCGGCACACACCCCGCACGGATCAAGCCCCACATGGAGCTTTTTTTTCATGCTCGCGTGCGCCCTATCTCCTGTGATTCACCCGCGGCGCACAGTGAAAACGAGGGCTTGGGCCAGCCCCCTTGGCCATGCAGCTGGCCACGTAGGACCGGGGCCGCCCCCACATGCATCTGTTGCGCGTATGGCAGAGGATCTTGCACAGCATATCTCAGTCAGTTACGACAGGGCTCGCGGCCATTTTTCCGTTCATCTGATGTAATCTAGTTGATTCCGCAATCTCGTTAATCTATTTGGACGCTCGTTTACAAAGAATACACTTGAGCCCATCCTGCATCGTCTGCTCCTTCTCTCCTCTGCCTCTCCCGTCCCTCCTGCCCCCGCCTCTCGCCGGAGCGCCTCCTGCCTCCCTCGCCGCCCTGCCCCCCGCGCTCTCACCCGCCCCGGAGGGCCGATCCGAGCCCCCTCTCTCAGCTGCGGCAGCGCGCGCGCGGCGCGCCGCCCGGAGAGGCCTTCGCCTGGAGGCGGCAGGGCATGCAGGCCGGCATGCAGGACGGCATGCAGGGCGGCGACATGACGGGCGGCGTGGCCGGCATGATGGAGGGCTTCGGGGGCGACCCAGCCGCGGCGGCCGCCGCCATGTCGGCGGCGGCGGGTTCGGGACCCGCCCGCGGGGCCTGGGGAGGCGGAGGAAGAGGGAGCCTGAGGAGCGCGAGGGGAGGGGAAGCGCGAGGGGAGGGGAGGCGGGAGAGAGACGAGGAGAGGAGGGGGAGGAGGAGGAGGAGGAGGAGGAGGAGGAGGAGGAGGAGGAGGAGGAGGAGGAGGAGGAGAAGGAGGCGGAGGCGGAGGCGGAGGCGGAGGCGGAGGCGGAGGCGAGCGGAGCGGGAGGCGGAGGCGGAGGCGGACGGAGGCGGAGGCGGCGGAGGAGGAGGAGGAGGAGAGGAGGAGGAGGAGGAGGAGGGAGTCGGAGGAGGAGGAGGAGGAGTCGAGAGGAGGAGGAGGAGGAGGAGGAGGAGGAGGAGGAGGAGGAGTCGAGCAGTGGCGAGCAGTGGCGAAGCGTCCTGGCCTGAAAACCGGCCCACCAGAGAATATGTTCTGAGAGCCGCCTGTGGTCTGCACGACATGCTTCAAGGACATGTCTGGCTGAGACCGTCTTGTTTCAAGATATCGGGCCAGTGTTCTAAGAACCTTGTGTCTGTTCTTAGAACCGAAGAAGAATACAACCACATAAACATAAACTGTTTGCGCTCCGCGCGGATTTCTTGGATTCGCGCCTGGGCCCCCCGGCGGCGCCTCGGGCGCCGCCCCTTGCGCGCTCCGCGCGCCAGGGAGGGGAGCCCAGCGCGAATCCGAGAAATCCGCGCGGAGCACCACGAGTGTGTGTTCGTGTGGCTTTTCCTTCTATACCACACCGCTGGGCTTCAGGAACAGTCCGTGGCAGGCCTGCAGGACTGCCGGGAAGGCCGGCCCGTCCGTGCTCAGAGGACAGGCGGGGCGCCAGCACCCGCGGAGCGCCACGAGTTCGTGTTTGCGTGCTTTGTCTGCTTCTACTCGGCCACGCGCAGAGGGGAGTAGGGGGAGGGGGGAAGGCTTCTTAGAAGCACCCCTGCTTCTTAGAAGGCGCGATCCTTCTGTATAGATGTAAGGCTGGCGCCTTCTAAGAAGCAGCCTCCTTCTAAGAAGCCTTCCCCCCTCCCCCTACCCCCCTCTGCGCGCCGCCAATCTACAGCGCACTGCTGGGCTCGAAGAACCGTCCGTGGCAGGCCATGCAGGACTGCCGGGAAGGCCGACCCGCCCGTGTTCCCAGGGAGAGGCGGGGCGCCAGGGCACCCGCGCCCGCACGGGGCCTGGGGCCGCCCCTCCCGCGGGGTCGCCGATCGCGGAGGAGGATCGGCATCGTTTGGCCGCTTCGGTGCCTAGGACCGCCCCAGGCCATGTCTTCTCTCGGGGACGGGGAGGCGGGTGGGTCGGGGGAGAGCGACTAATTTTCTCTTGAGGGCTTTCCCTCAACTTCTAATTGTTGCTTGTGCTCACATGAGACATCAGTCGCAACTGGAAACTGGAAACCCCATCCCCGTCCTCCATCCCCTGCGAGGCCCCCACCAAACGAGCACCCCAGTTTGGGATACCCCCCCCGGAGCCCGAAGAGATCGGCATCGTTTGACCGGTCCCAAGCAGTGGCGAAGCGTCCTGCTTCGCCCATCATTAGCCATACCAAACAATGTTCTAGGAACCTGCTGTGGTTCCCACGAGATGTTCTCAGAGCATTTCTGGCGGGGTCTGTCTTGTTGCATCTCATCGTGTTTATGTTCTGAGAAAATTGTTTTTGCTATGAGAACATTTTGGGGTTCTAAGAACACTCCGTGGTAGGACTATAGGAATGCCGGGACGGTCGGTCCCTGCCTAATAACCCATACCCATCCCCATCCTCCATCCCCTTCGAGGCCCCCACCAAACGACCACCCCAGTTGGGGATACACCCCTCGGAGCCCGAAGAGAGCGGCATCGTTTCCCCATCCAGAGGGGCAGATCGGCCAGCGGGGCCCAGGCCATGCCGCTGGGGATGGGGATCGGTCCAACGATGCGGAGGCGGAGGAGGGGGAGCACCACGGGGCCAGGACAGGGAGCACGAGGAGCAGCGTCAAGGCAGAAACCGGCATGAAAAGCAGCAACTTTGGCGCTCCGCGCGGATTTCTCGGCTTCGCGCTGGGGCCTCTGGCGCCGACTCTGGGATGTCTCGATTCTCGGATTTCTCTGATTTCTGGGGCCTCCGGCGCCCCTCATCGACGCCTCCGGCGCCGCCCCTGGCGCGCTCCGCGCGCCAGGGAGGGGGGTGGGGGGTGCAGCTCAGAGCCACGAAATCCGCGCGCACCGTCGAGAAATTCGCCAGAAATCCGCGCGAAGTCCGCGCGACATCCACGGGATCCACGAGTTTCTGTGTATGCCGTTTTTTTGTTAGAGGAGGAGGTGGAGGCGGAGGAGCACAGCGGGGCGAGGACGGGGAGGACGGGGACCAGATCAGACCCAGCACGCGCAGCTGCACCACGCCCTCGGCTCGTCGCCGTCGTCGTCGTCGTCGTCGTCGTCGTCGTCGTCGTCGTCGTCGTCGAGTCGTCGTCGAGTCGTCGTCGTCGTCGTCGTCGTCGTCGCCGTCGTCGTCGAGTCGTCGAGTCGTCGTCGTCGTCGTCGTCGTCGTCGTCGTCGTCGTCGTCGTCGTCGTCAGCGCGGGCGGTGCCCGGTCACGACGGCGAGCGCCCGCGGGAGGGGCGAGTTCCCCGCGGGCCTGCCACGGGTGCAGGCCTCGGGGCCCAGTCGGGCCTGTCCCTCTCTACAGGAGGAATCTTCCAAAGATCGATGTCAGAGAAAACTTCGTGGGAGAAAAAGATACGGATACGTGTTGTCCCCCTTCGTTTTCGGCCTTTCCTGGTCCTCCTGGGGAATCCTCGTTGTCACCGCTGGATTCGCCTCGAAATTCTGGTCAGAACGCACCCCAAGAGAGGTCCGGGGACAACCCGTATCCGTATCTTTCCGCCCCCCAAAAACTCTGGGGGCGATTTGTGGTATATGTTTGACCATTTGGGGGGCATTGGTTTGCTACTCTAATCTTTCGTCCAAACTCCGCCCCGTAGGGGGGACAGGCCCGACCCGAGCCTTGGGGTCGGCCGGATCCGCAGCTGCTGCCCTGCCGTCGGTCTCTCGGGGCCCGGCGCGGCCGCAGGGAACGGAGCCCCACGGCGCTGGCGTCTCGGCAGCGCTCGGCCGCGTGCCTCTCTTCTCGGCGAGGAAAAGAAACACACAGACACAATTAATCACCGATTCCCCAGAAAATATAGGAAAATATGGGAAGTGGGGGGGAAGACAGAAACCCAGAAAATATGGGAAAATATTGGGAATCCTGTTATTTGTGTGTATTTATTTGTGTGTCCTTGGGCCCCTGGAGTATCGCTCAAACCAAAAACAAAAAGACGCATCACACCGAACAGTGCACGGGGCATGGGCGTCCGAGCGACGTCGCCGGCACAGCCGCTGGCAGGGCGGTCCCGTGGCCTTCGTCTCGTGGCAAGGCCGGCGGGATGCTCCTTGGGGAGCGTGGAGGCCTCTTGGGAGCCTTTTGTCAGAGCCCCGAATCATCAGGGGTAACTCGGGTCAGGGATAACTCGGGTTCGTTTTTCGGGAATCCGAGCCCGAGTTATCCCGGACCCGAGTTACCCCGGATAACTCGGGCGTCCAGAGCCCCGAATCATCAGGGGTAACTCGGGTCAGGACTAACTCGGGTTCCTTTTTCGGAAATCCAAACCCGAGTTACCCCGGACCCGAGTTACCCCGGATAACTCGGGCGCCCAATTTTGGTCACCAGCCTCGAACTGATCCCTATCCCTAAGATTGATGCGCCAAAAGGCGAGGACAATCTTAGGGGTTCGCCCTGGAAAACTGAGGGAATCCCTAAGATCGGCATCGTGATGAGGAGATGCCCAGCATAGGGATAGGGATATGTTCCAGGCTGGTAATTTGGGAGCCTCTTGCGGGCATCTTGCTAGAGCCACTTGGCAAATGCTTGTGGGCCTCTTGGGAGCGTGATGGCGGTCTTCAAAACCGTCCCGGGCGAAGAGCTCCGAGCTTGAGCCCGAGCTCCCCCTCTTGACCTCCCTCGTGGGGGCCCCTCGGCGGCCTCCTGTGGGCCTCTCTTAGGGCCTCCTGCGGGCATCTTGCTAGAGCCACTTGGCATATTCTTTTGTGGGCCTCTCGGGAGCGTGAGGGCGGTCTCCGGGGCCGTCCCGGGCGAAGAGCTCTGAACTTGAGCCCGAGCTCCCCCTCTTGACCTCCCTCTTGTGGGCCTCTCGGGAGCGTGATGGCGGTCTTCGGGGCCGTCCCGGGCGAAGAGCTCCGAGCTTGAGCCCGAGCTCCCCCTCTTGACCTCCCTCGTGGGGGCCTCTTGGCGGCCTCCTGGGCCCCTCTTCGGGGCGCGTGGGCCGCCCCGAAGCGCTCGCGGGGCTATCCCTGGCCATCCCGGTTTTGCTCTCGGAGCCGAGACGACGGGAACACCGAAATCATTACCCATCGGTCGTTGAAAGTAGGTATTTTTGGATTCCCAGATTCCCATGTACTTTCAGCGCCTTCCTACTTCAAGAGTCGAGTGGTTTTTGTCCTCTTCCCTCCTCTTCAGGAGGCGGGGCGGAAACCCAATCTATTTCCAACGCCTTCCTACTTCATGTTTCGACCTACTTCTTCCGACCGATGGGTAGGGGAACAAGGAGTGACAGAGGAATCCGCGCGGGCCTCCGAGTTTTCATGTTTATGCCAGCTGTTGTTCCCCTGATCCTACAGAGCAATCGAGAGATCCGATTCGTGTGGCGCCTGGGCCCGACCCCCGGAGCCTCCAAGGCCGGCCCCGCAGGCCCGCAGGAGGATCGCCCCCAGGGACGGTCCTCCGGAGCCACCCGCGGGCGCGCGGGAGGCGCGGACTCCCGGGGCCACGCTCCCGAGGCCCCGCGGGAGCACGGCCTTCATGTCGGGCAGGTCCGCTGTGCAGGAGGCAGATCCACAGGGAAACGAAACGTAATAAAAGGGGACGATGGTTCTCCCATGGTTGACCCTTTATGAGCAGTTTTTCCTCCAAGATTGTCATGTTCCTCCAAAGATCCTCCAACATTGCTTCCTCCAAAATTGTAATGTTCGTTGAACTCCATGAATATTCCTTATTGCTCCTCCAAAAGCCGCCTGTAGGGGGACATGCCCGACTCAAGCATAGCCACGCTGCGCAACAGGGTGCTCCCGAGAGGGCCCGGACCTGGGGGCCCCCTGCAGAGTACCGAAGACGAAAACTCAGCGCTCCGCACGGATTTCTTGGATCCGCGCGGGGCCCCTCCCGCGGCGCCTCCAGCGCCGCCCCTGGCGCGCTCTGCGCGCCAGGGAGGAGTGCCCATCGCAGATCCAATCCAAGAGATCCGCGCGGAACGCACTTGCAAGATTCAGCATCGGAATTCTTTCTGAGAGGTGTGTTCCCACTCAGTGCCCATGGTGCGGTGGCGGACGGGCGTCGGGGTGCCATCTTGGGGACGTCTGGGAGCATCTTGCGGCCCGCTTGGGTCTCGGGTTTTTTGGGGTTCTCTGGCGTGGCGTCGGGGGTCGCCTGGAGGCAGTCTTGGACCGTCTGGGGTTTCTGGAGAGCTTTCTCTGAGCCTTCTTGGGGCTCTCATGGCGGCGTGTTGATTTTTGGGGCCCTCTTGGCCGTGTGGTGGCGCCCATTGTGTGGAAAGCATGCGACAACCTAGAGCAGCCAGGAGCTCAAGACCCCCTCCCAAGGTGTGTGTATACATATATTTATATAGGCATATCTATTTATATAGGTATATATATAAATTTATAGATGTATAGGTACGTATGCGTGCTTGTGTGCATGTGTGTTCGCCCCCCACTGGTACCTTACAAGCGAGTGCCGGGGTCGGAGAGCAAGAGGCCAAAAGTGAAAGGCACAGCGGGGAGCCGAAGCATCAGTCCAGGAGGGACTTCCGCTGACATCCGCGCCACAGGAGCCCCGTTGATCTTTCTCTCGCCCCTGCGTCTCTTGGGCAGTTCTTGTCCGCTCCTCTGCGTCAGGAGCGGGCTTCGACCCCATGATGGCCAGCAGTGGCATCGACCCCAACAACGGGGCCACCACGCTGTACGCGCTGGCGCAGCTCGCAGAGGACTTTGGCCAGCCTGCGCGCCAGCAGATCCCGTCTGTCGGAATGTATCACCAAGATGGGCATGCATCTTCGCCAGCGCGCAGGAAAATGGCAGAAACGCGCCACCTTCTCGCGCAGGAATCTGACGTTTCCGTCATAAGCTAGAGAATGCACCGTGGGAGGTGTTGAGAAAGGGCGACGCCTGTCTCGGGCCTCGTCGGCCTTGCGGGTGACTCCAGCTCGCTGGACTGGGAACCCTTTCGGCGTGCCGCAGCCACTGGTTTGTTGTTGCTCGGTTTATGCTCCTGCCGCTGCTGCTGCCACTGCAACTACAGTCGGGGCCCTGCAGAAGGAACCCTTTTGGTTGGGGAGGGGCTCCGCGTTCCTTAAGTGTTTAAAAGCTTGCCTCAGGTTGTCCTTATGTTTTCGATCGGAAATCGAAGTTTGACTTATGGAAAAAAGGGGCCTCGTTCCTTATTTACCGTTCCTTAGGTCAACGCCCCGACTGTACTCCTCTGGCAGGAGGCGCTCTCCGGAACGGGCCCGGGGGAACGCGACAGAGGCCGAGCCAGGGGGCGCGCCGAGGGGGGAGCGGCATACGACGTCCCCCTCCGGGGCGTCAGGAGCCGACGCGTTCTCACGTTTGTCCCGCTTTGGGGCGTTAGGGACCCACGTGTTTTCACGCTTGCCCCGCCCTCGGGCGTTAGGAACCCTTATGTGTTTTCACGTTTGTCCCGCCACACGTTTTTAGCTTGTCCCGCCCTGGGGGGTTACGGACCCCATTGTTTTCACGCTCGTCCCGCGCAGGGGCGTTAGGAACCCATGGTGTTCAACCTTGTCCCGCTCTGAGGCGTTAGGTACCAGTGTTTCACGCTTGTCCTGCCCTGAAGCTTTAGGAACCCTTATGTGTTCACGCATGTCCTGCCCTGGGGTGCGGCGTTAGGAACCTAAGTGTTTTTACGCTCTTTCCGCTCAGTGGCGTTGGAAACCGATGTGATGTCACGTTTGTCCCGCTGTTGGGCGCTAGTATGCTTTCACGCTTGTCCCGCTCTGGGGCGTTAGGAACCAACGCGTTCTCATGTTTGTCCCGCTCTGAGGTGTTAGGGACCATGCGTTTTTACGTTTGTGCCGCCCTGGTGCGGTAGGAACCTAAGTATTTTCAGGTTTGTCCCGCTCTGTGGAGTAAGGAACCAACGCGTTCTCATGTTTGCCCCGCTCTGAGGCGTCAGGAACCCAGGAATTGGCCATTAGAAATGGGGCATCATTACCCCAGGGCATCTTCACGAAGGCCTTCCTAAAACATTAATGATATGGATCCCTGACGAAAAGCATCATTACCAACGTGCCCGTATTAAAGGAAATGCGATTATTGAAGTATGATTACAGGGGTACTGTTTGACGGGATCCTTTTTTAAAGCATACTTGCCTTACTCAGGACCCCGTACAGGAGGAATTCATGGTAAGGAACCTTACTGCATAATGTATTACAGAGGACTCCTCATTACAGAGGCTCATGACGAAAAACAGATTCAACAAGGTCATCTTCCTAAGGCGGCCTAACTGAAAGCATCCGTACTGCGGATACCTTAGTAGAAGGTTATTTTACCATGGGGGCCGTATTAGAGGAAGCACAAACAAGCAGTCCTTATCAGAGGGATTGTTTTGGCGGGGATATGAATTCAAGGCAACCTTACCTTACCTTACTCTGGACCTCTTACAGAGGGCATCCATAGTAAGGGACCTTTACCAAAGGAGGTATTTCAACCACGTCTTTACCTACATGGGGGTCCTTACTGAAAGGATCCTGATTGATGCCGTCCCCGGTAAGGAGGCATCACTAGAAGCACCCGTAGGAAGGACTCTGAAACAAAAATGCAGCATTGCTCAGGAGCCCGTACCTTTTTTGAAAGAGCCACGACCACATGATGTAGTAAAGGACCTTGCCACAGATTTTTGTGCGCACCGGCCTCACATTGGGGAGGGCACTTCCCCCGATCCATGGATTTGGCGACCGCGCGCCTAATCCATGGATCGCTAATCCATGTATGCGCGCCCCCGCCTTACCAAAACGGCTCGGGATGCAGCTTTGGCCCAATGGAAGGCCCAATAGGGTCTTGGATCCCAAACAGGGCAAGTCGCTCCAGAACCTTCCAGAGCGCTCCGAGAAGACCGCGTCGCCCGCTACACCCCACAGCCTGGCCAGATCTCGGAGCTCCCCGATGTATATGCCGGTCCGATGTGATCCAGGTCCCGGGTCTGTCTTCGGACCCGTTTCCCTCACAGGACACCTTTCTCGGAGGCCCAGAGGTTGACACCAGCACCTATAGCGGCGCTGTGCCTCCACCGAGGACAGAGGATCCTGGCTTCGGCGATGGTGATCTCAGTCGTGCCACCTGGATGATGACCGAAATATCAACACCAGCGCCCCGATCCAGCACCATCTCCCCCCTGGGGGAGGCAGCCCCCTGTTTTGGTGCTGGTGCCCATCTGCAGGCCTCACACCTTCTTCCTTCCTCCACGCTGGGGATTGCTCGATTCTTTTGTGTTAAAAAAGAAGATCACCACCCACCAAACCACCCCAACCCAACCCGAAGGCTCAGATTTACCCTCGATTTCCAGTGGGGGGGGGGGTCGGGAAACATCGAAAAAACACATGTGGAACCCTTACCCCCCCCAACCCGAAATTCGGGTCTTCGGGTTGGGTTGGGGGTGGTCTGGCAGGCAGTCAGAAGATCCTTCAGCCCAGCCGCCCCGCGCGTTCGCGGGGCGGCGCGCACCGCGCACCTTTTTTTTAACAGGGCCACGACCACATGATGTAGTGAAGGACATTGCCACAGGCTCTTGTGCCGAGAGAACACTTACCAAAGCAGTCGATCCTGGGGGGCGCAGTAGTCAAACCATTTACACTAAGGGTCCACGATTGCAGGCATTCGCTTGCCAGAGGGCCTCACGAAAGCAGGCACGAGCAACGAATCCCTTCGCGGGGCGGCGCGCACCCTGTGCTGCCCCCCTAAAGGAGTCGGCGCAGTACGCCACGGCGGCCGCGGCCTTCTGCGCCGTGCCGCGCGACCTGGACCAGGCGGGTCGCGGCGGCGCCCGCCGCCCCGCGGCGCCCGCGCCTCGCCGCCCCCCCCCCCCGCCTCGCTCCGCCCCGCTTCCTGCGTCGTCTTCTCCTCCTGCCTCCTCCTCCTCCTCCTCCTCCTCCTCCTCCTCCTCCTCCTCCTCCTCCTCCTCCTCCTCCTCCTCCTCCCCCTCCTCCTCCTCCTCCTCCTCCTCCTCCTCCCTCCTCCTCCTCCTCCTCCTCCTCCCCCCCTCCTCCTCCCCCTCCTCCTACTCCTCCTCCTTCTCCCCCTCCTCCTCCTCCGGGGTCGGGGGCGGCAAAGAAGGGGGGTGATGACTAGGGGGCTGGAGATCTCATGGCGGGGGCCGCGATCTCTCCCCGGATCTCGTGGCGCCCCTCTTCGTGTTTCATTGCGTCCCTGGCCCCCCCGCTGGGCCGCGCACATGCCGCCGGTCATGATTTGCACCCCCCGTCTTGGACACCCCCCTCTTGGCCGCTCCCGAAAGGAGGGTCTACGGTAGCTTCGCGTCGCGTCGACCCGCGCGGCGACCCCGCCGCGGGCGTTCCAGGTTGGGCGCTGCCGGTGGCCCAGAATCGGCCTGCAGGGAACGATCGGGCGATATGGAAGCCGCCGATCGTTCAAGGTTGAGCGATCGAGGAAGTGTCAGAAACCAACGCCAGCCAACACCAGGGTCGTCACGACACGAACCTACCGTACCGGCGTCTGCTTTGAAGCACCGGCGTGAGCCCGAGTGCCACGTGTTTCCCCAGCCAGTGCTAATGCAGCTTGCCGGCACCAGCGACATGGGTACGGAAAGAATAGGAAGAATGCCCAACAGTAGTTCCTGTTCATTTTGAACAGGACTCGCTGTCCGCGCCGCCGCGGCCTGTGTCCATTTGAGACAGAAGGCCGCCTGCCTAACAACGGCCGCTCTTGGTTTGGGACCAAATTTGTTCTTGGGCATTGTACACATATTTTCCGTACCCATTTGGACGTGCGCGGCTCGTTGTTTTTTCTTCTCTCTCTCTCTCTCTCTCCGGAGCGTCGCGCATGCAGGGAGCAGCAGAGAGAACAGCAGCACGCGGCACGCGACCGCGACCCTTCGCCTCTCCAGCTCGGGAGGATCTACAGTGGGGTCGGGAAAAAGGGGACTGAAGACCGACAGCAGCTTGTGCCGATGAAGAACAGGACTCCTTGTCTGTGCCGCCGCGGGCGTCGTCCATCAGGTGACGAGCGTCACCTGCTCAACAGCGGCAGCTGTCGGTTTGGGACAGCATGGTTGCGGATGGGATGGGACGGGAAGGGAAGGGGGGCGGGAGGGATGAGGAGAGGCAGCGTTTTGCGGGAGAGAGGGGCGCTCTCTCCTCCCTCTTTCCTCCACCTCCTCCTCCACCACCTCCTCCTCCTCCTCCTCCTCTTCTTCCTCCTCCTCTCTCCTCCAAATATGGTGACGCCTCGGAAGCGGGCGGATCGGGCGAGGAGACGCGCCGGCCACGGGGGGCGCCGCCCGCCAGGTGACGGAGGTGGCGAACGCTGCCGAGCAGGCCGGCAAGAGGGCGGCCTGGGCCGCGAAGGTCTTGGGCGGCCCGCCGCTCCCCCCATGCTCCTCCTGCTCCTGCTCCTCGACCTCGTCTTCCTCGTCGTCCTCCTCCCTCGCTCCTTTTCCTCCTCCTCCCTCGCTCCTCCTCCTACTCCTCCTCCTACTCCTTCTCCTGCTCCTCCTGCTCCTACTCCTCCTCCTCCTTCTTCTCCTCCTCCTCCTCCTCCTCCTCCTCCTCCTCCTCCTCCTCCTCCTCCTCCTCCTCCTCCCCCCTCCTCTCCTCGTCTCTCTCCCGCCTCCCCTCCCCTCGCGCTTCCCCTCCTTCTCCCTCCTCCTCCGCCCGGGTGGCCGACGGCCCCCAGAAGCGAAAACAGCGCCCGATCGGCACTCCTCCTCCTCCTCCTCCTCCTCCTCCTCCTCCTGCTCCTCCTCCTCCTCCTCCGACAGGAGCCAGGCAGGTCCAGAGCGGGCCTCTTTGATGGGGGCCCCAGCGGGAGGATCCCCTCTCGGCGAGGCGCGCGCGCGCGCCCGCTGTCGGACCTGCCTCGGGGAGCGCGCGGGCGCACCCCATGTGCCAGCGCCGATGTCCAGAGTCACGGCTCCGCACACCACCCACGGCCATGTCTCCCTCTCGTTGCTCCTCTCCCTTACAGTCGGGGCCCTGAAGAAGGAACCCTTTTGGTTGGAGAGGGGCTCCGCGTTCCTTAAGTGGTTCACAGCTTGTCTCAGGTTTTCCTTATGTTTTCGATAGGAAATCGAAGTTTAACTTATGGAAAAAGGGGCCTCGTTCCTTATTTAGGGTTCCTTAGGTCAACGCCCAGACTGTACCCCCCCCTTCCGCCCCAGAACCCCACGTCTCTGTCTGCTGCTGCTCACCATGTGGGCCCCTGGAGGTCTCGACACAGTGTCCAGTCCCGTCGTCATGAGTTAGTTGACGGTCCCAGGGGCAATGTGCCAAGAGGCAGGAAGTAGCCAGCAAGATCCCGCCAGGGCTTTTCACGACGCGGGGTGGGTGGGTGCGCGCTTGCGCCCACGGCTCAAAGGTCGACCCCCGGGCCTTTCTTGGCAGCGCGTCTTGGCCAGGATGTCGAAGGCGGCCGAGAACGGGTGACGAGAACCCCCCAGGGAGGCCCAGGAGATCCACACTTGTCGAACAACGTCGCCCCTTCGAATGCAGGCATCTTTCGAGATGTCTTGCACTTCAGCTCCCGACCCCATCGCTGGGCGCAGTTTTGCATTACGGCTCCATGTTTCACGGCTCTGGAATCCGAAGCCACCCCTTTGTTGATACCGACTCGAAGCCGTTTTGGCTCCAGCCGTTGGACCGCACCGACCTGCCGCGCTGCCCCGAAGCCTTGCCAGCCCGGAGCCGCAGGCCGCCAGACTTTTCCAGGCGAATGGCCCGCAGGCTCAGCGCCCTCTCCTTGGCCGTCCTGCTGGGGGGGGCCGCGGCCACGGAGCTCACCCCGGACACGTGGGACGCAGCGGTGGCGGGGAAGAGCGTGTTCATCAAGTTCCTCGCCCCCTGGTGAGGACACTGCAAGAGCCTGAAGCCCGCCTGGGACGAGCTGATGGAGGAGTTCAAGGACTCCACGACGTCGCTCGTCGCGGACGTTGACTGCACCACGGAGGGCAAGGAACTCTGCACGAAGTTCGGCGTCGGGGGCTACCCGACGATCAAGTACGGCGACCCCGACGACCTCAAGGACTACAACGGCGGCCGTTCGCTCGACGACCTCAAGAAGTTTGCCAGCGAGAACCTCGGCCCCCAGTGCGGCCCAAAGAACCTGGACCTGTGCAGCGGAGACGTGAAGGCCAAGCTGGAGAAGTTCATGACGATGTCGGCGGGCAAGCTGGAGGGCAAGGCGAGGAACGCCAAGAAGGTGCTCGCGGAGGACGTGCCTCTGATGAAGAAGGTGCTCGCCTTCAAGCAGAAGGGCGACGGCAAGACGGAGCTCTAGGGGCTCCGCTCCGGAGGCCGCCAGTCCCTCACAGTTTTGCGACCACCCAGCAGCCGCCCTCACCGTTATCCTTACGTCGGGCGTGCCCCTCTACAGGAGGAATACTTAAGGTATCCCAAACATAGTATTTGGAAGATGTGTTGTTTGTTGTTTAACAAGTTGTGGATATTTTTATCTATCTATCTTTCTTCCCCTCCAGAATGTCCCGACCTACCGTTAGCCAGGCACCGCTCAAAGCGTGTCGCCGCTTCCGCCCGACGCGCCGCCTGCGCGGGCAGAGCAGCCCCTTCGGTGCCTTCGGTGGCAGGTCCTGGGAGCCTGGAGCTTGGTATCGCTCGGACGTGTGCACTTTTTCTCGGCGGGGATTATTAAAGAGCATCCTGGATTATCCTGCGAAAAAATCGCGGACGAAACCGAAAAAAACACACGGAATGACGGCCGAGCGATAGCCAGGGAGCACCCTCTCAACATGCCGTCTTCAGCGTCGACCGGCGTCGCCTCGCCTCGCTTCGTCGATGCGATGGCGCCGTTGTAGCGTCTCGGCTCGCGTCGATCCAGCGCCGCTTTCGCGTCGCTTCAGCGTGTCGATTTCGCGCCGATCCGGCGACGATCTTCTGGCGCCGACTCGGCGCCGCTTCGCACGAGCCGACGAGCTGGCAGGGGGGAGGCTCCCGCGAGCTGCCACCGAGCCGTGCCCGCCCACCTCGCGGGCCGCACCGCCCACTTCGTGACGCCGTGCCCGGGCGCCCGGCGGGCGCACCGCTCCCCCTCGCGCGCACGCCCCGCGGGCGCGCGCGCGGGCGGCCGCCCGGCACGGCGGAGGCGTGGGCACCGCAGGACCCGGCGAGGGCACCCGAGGCCCGCATGTGCGCGCGCAGAGCAGACAGAGGAAGCGGCCCCCTGGGGGCAGCGAGGGGGGGGGGGGTAGGCTCAAGCCGGGCCCAGTCCCTCTACTTTTACTTTTTGTTGGTCTGCGGGTCGGGAGCGGGCCACTTCCGGTCAAGAGCTAAGCGGGACGCGGGTAGCCCTGATTGGGGAGACGGGGCGCGGCTCTCCCCCCGTCCCTCTACAGGGGGACATCCAAAAACAGTATGAAACAAGGAAGCAAGCATGAGGCCGAATGTTGGACAATGTTTGACTCGGGTGGGGGGCATGTTTGGGATATGTTCTATTCTGCGTCCAAAGTCCGCCTGCAGGGGGACATGCCCGCCCGAAGGGTGGGCACAGAGGGGGGCCGCGTCGGCCCCCAAATCGGCCGTGGATCGCCGACAGGGGCCTCACAGCCCCAACCCGTCCAGGAAGGTTCGGACTCACGATCGGGGGCCTCTCGCCGGTCCCTCGGGGATGTACCGCCGATTCCAGGTCGATGCATCCCCCCTATAGGGCAGTCCCCCCCCCTATCGTTGCTCCTCAGGCCCACGGATGCCGAGATTCGAAGAATCGGGGGCGGCAAAGAGGGCGGTGATGACTAGGGGGGGGTGGATATCATGGCGGGGGCCATGATATCTCCCCAGATCTCATGGCGCCTCTTCTTGTTTCATTACGTCCCTGGCCCCCCCGCTGGGCCGCGCATATGCCGCCGGCCATGATTTGCACCCCCCCCTCTTGGACACCCCCCTCTTGGCCGCTCCCGAAAGAAGGAACAAAAAGGCCAGAAGCACACACTTCTGGCGCTCCCCGCGCGGATCTCTCTTGGAGCCGCGCTGGGCCTCCTCTCCCGGCGGCGCTCTCCGGGTGCCGCCCCTGGCGCGCTCCGCGCGGAGCGCCACAGGCTTTACGTTTGCGGCGTTGCGTCTTCCTCCAGAGAAGGCTCCGAGGCGGATAGCACTATGTCGGGCGTGTCCCCCCTACAGGGGGATTTTCGGCGACAAGAAAAAATACCTCCAAAATATTCCCAAAAGGTCAACAAATACGCAAACATAGTCCCCGTATTATGTTTGGATTATGTTTTGACTATTTGCGGGGTATTTTTTATTTTTCGTTGAAAATCCCCCTGTAGGGGGACACGCCCGACTACAGGATAGCAGCCCCACCCTGCCAGGGCGATCGGCGACTTCTCTCCGGATCTCGGGCGTGCGGGCCTGCACCCGCCGGGTCTGGCCCGGGGTGGCTCCTTGCTCGGAGGGGCGTTGTCTTCCGCCAGGGAGCCTGCTCGCCCCGGAGGTCAGGAGGGGAAAAAACACACACACACAGACACGATCAAGCGTCGAGTCCCCAGAAAAGATTGGGAAGATATGGGAAGTGGGGGGAATGACAAACGCCCTGAAAACAATTGAAAATGCGGGGAATCCTGTTGGCTGTGTGTATTTTTTCGCGTGTCCCAGGGCCCCTTCGCGCGGGAAGGGCAAACGTCGGTGCGCTTGACAGCCCTGCGCTCCGACGCTGCAGGAAAAACAGATGCACCATCGCAGACAACTCAGGAGGGAAAAGCACACACAGAGACACAATTACTCGTCGAGTCCCAGGGAAATATGGGAAAATATGGGAAGTGGGGGGGAAGACAAAAACCCAGAAAATATTTCAAAAAAAATTGGGAATATGTTTATTTATGTGTATTTATTTCTGTGTCCTGGGGCCCCTTCAAAAACCACGACCCGAGCCGCGGACCCGATCGCTCGGCATCCTCTCTCGAGCTGCATCGGCCGGTGAGGGCCCCGGGGGCCCGAAACTCGGGCGGCAGCGCCCGTGGTGCAGCAGTGGCGCGCCGCCAGGCTCTCGGGGATCGTCGGAGGCCTGGGAACCTGGACCCCCTGCTCCGCCCCCCCCCCTCCCTTGGCATCGCTCGGACGTGTGCACCTTCCTCTCGGCGAGGACCATCGAGGAGCATCCTTTGATCCTTCTGGCGAAAAAATCCACGCACGAAACCGACGAAAAAAGCACAGGGAAGGGACGTCCGAGCGATGGCCAGCTCCCAATCCGTGGCGCCGCGGCCCTGGCGCCAGAGCTCCGCTCGTCGAGGACAAAAGAGGGCCCTCGCCTCGGCCTCACTGAGGTCCCCGTCTCTTCGCATCAGGGATGCCACTGATATTCTGGCTGGGCTGGCGGGCCGCGCTGGCGGGCCGCGCGGCTGGCGAGGAAACGTGGAAGAAGGAGGGTGGGGGAGGAGGAGGAGGAGGAGGAGGAGGAGGAGGAGGCGGAGGAGGAGGAGGAGGCGGAGGAGGAGGAGGATGAGGAGGAGGGATCTGGGATCCCTGATGTTCTTGGCCCTCCTGACTTGGCTCCCCTCCCAAAGGGGTTGGGGCTCCTTTCATGCCCCGATCCTCCGCCACCCGCCAGCCGCTCTGGCCCGAGCGGCGCGAGCGGCACCCATGGAGGCGGCTGCGGCCGCGCCCGGCCGCGCCGCGCCTCCTAGGCGGCGAGAGGAGGAGGAGGGAGGAGGGAGGAGGGAGGAAGGAGGAGGGGAGCAAAGGAAGGGAGGAGGGAGGAGGAGGAGGGAGGAGGGAAGGAGGGAGAGGAGAGGAGGGGAGGAGGAGGGAGGAGGAGGAGGGGAGGAGGAGGAGGGGGGAGGAGGAGGGGAGGAGGAGGATGGAGGAGGAGGGAGGAGGAGGAGGAGGAGGAGGAGGATGAGAGGAAGGAGGAGAAGGAGAGGAGGAGAGGGGAGGAGGAGGAGGAGGAGGGAGGAGGGAGGGAGGAGGGAGGAGGAGGGAGGAGGAGTAGAGGCAGGAGAGGGGTGCGGTGTAAAGGGGTGTGGTGCCAAAGCGATGTAACCAGGGACCTGGCGATGTTCTCGATCGCAGATAGCTCGGGGTCGGCAAAGAGGGGGGTGATGACTAAGGGGGGTGGATATCATGGCGTGGGCCATGATACTTCCCCAGATTTCATGGTGCCTCTTCTTATTTCATTACGTCCCTGGTCCCCCCGCTGGGCCGCGCACATGCCGCCGGCCATGATTTGCACCCCCCCCTCTCGGACACCCCCCTCTTGGCCGCTCCCGAGAAACAAGTCAAGACGTCGGGGTATGGGGACAGAGGCTCGGGACGATCGAGACGGGTACGGGAGCACAAAGACCGGCAGCAATTGTTGTTCCTCTTGAGCAGGGCTCGCTGCCGATGTCGCCGCGGACATGGTTCGTTCGAGGCAGAAGGCCGCCTGCCAATTGCGGACGCTGTCGGCTTTGGACAACATGTGTTGCTTAGCATTGTGCAACTATTTCCGTACCCATTTCGGGCGTCCAAAAAGACCAGCGCCAGTTGTTGCCCAGTTTGAGCAGGACTCGGTGTCGGTGTCGCCGCGGACGTTGCCCTTTTGAGGCATTTAGAGCGGCCACTGCTTGCTTTGGACATTGTCTGCTGTTGAGCATCCTTCCTTTTGCTTGCCGTGCCTGTCTGGGCGTGCCATTGGAGTTTGGGTGGTTCTGGACGTTTCTCGTCTGTTCTGGATCTCTGGTTGGATCCTCGTCGCCACGCTCGGATCCCCCTCAAGATTCTTCTTCTGCCATCTGCCAGAACGCATCCCCTGCGAAGCAGCCTGCCCCACGGCAGGCTGCTTCGCAGAGGGGGTCCCCCCGCGAGAGCAGGTTTTGAGTTGTTTCGGCCTCGTCGAGTCGGATCCACCCTGGGTCAGGGACCTAGGGACCGCCTCCCTCCGAGCCTCGCGCAACGGCGTCGAGTCAGACTCGGAGTTTTCCGACTTTGGCTGAGAGTTGGTGACGTGTTGGCTTTAGGCCCGTCCCCAACAAAACCTCCTCCTCCTCCTCCTCCTCCTCCTCCGTCTCCTCCTCCTCCTCCTCCTCCTCCTCCTCCCCCTCATCTCCTCCTCCTCCTCCTCCTCCTCCTCCCTTTTTCTCCTCCTCCTCCTGCGCACGCAGTAGGCGCTCATGAGATCCCCACGAGCCCCGACGGAGGAAGGCCTCCGTTGAACGAAAACTTCAGGAGAGCACCCATCAAGACGACCGTCTTGTCACCCTCGACTGGGGGCGCCATCCAGTCAAGGGGCCAGCGACAGGGTGCTCTCTCTGAGGGCGGCCTGGGCCCACGCCCTTACCGCTTCTCTCCAGACTAGCGGGGTTCCAAGCTTCGGTGAGGAGGATCCACTCCTTCCCTTGCTTGTGCTTGCCCTGCTCAAGGCCTCGCAAAACACAGTTACCCCAGACTGAGGGTACTGGCGGGCACGGATGGCGAAACTGCTTCGACACGGTGACTCCGCCAGCACCGCACTGGGCACACACCACCCCTCGCCTCCCCCCCGCGAGAGTGAAGGGAAAGGCACGGTGAGTAGCGTGACCCTCTCTCCTCAGGACCGCGATCGCGACATCGGCTCGGCTTTCGACCGACGAAACCGCGGGAGGAGGAGGAATTACTTGCAGCCTGGGTACATCAATCTTGGGCGCCCTGACCCGCTTGGACACGGGGACGTGCAGACAATCCAGATCGGCCATAGGGGGCCCGCATGCGCCAACCCATCGGGTCAGGGCACACACAACTTTAAACTGACCATGGAACAGATCACGATACGGCTGACCGACTCTGCCGTACTCTGCAGCTTGTTTGGCGTAAGTGTCGGCCAACTCATTGCCCGCCCGAGCCCTGGCCGAAAGGCGACCAGAAATGACGTCGGCGCGAGTGGTGTGCGCCTTGACTTTGTTAAGCCGCAGCGCCTCGAGACCACCTCTGTCGTCGATGGCGTGCCAGACGAGCTTCCAGATATCAGCCCACGCGGCTTTAGACGAGCAACAAAACTGGCGCCTACGATGCCACACGCCCTGGAAAACAAAACTGGGGTCGGTCCAGAAACAGGCAACGGGGAGGGCCTGCCTCAGGCCCATGAAAAACGCCCAAAGCTCGCACGCGTCAATGTCGAAATGACCAGCTGGAAGCCCCCCCGCCACCACCGCGCGCTTCACTTGAGACACGGGCAGGCTCGGATCGTCATGGAGCGAGACGATGGCCCAGCCTAGTGAGCGCGCGGTGGGCGGGAGGTCCGAATCGAAGAGACTCCCGTCGAGAAAATAATCTCCCCCGAGCAGATCGGGGGTTCCGAGGAGCCAAAGTTCCTCTGGGGGGGTGGGTCGAGAAGGAGGGGGAGCAGGCAGCGGCACAAGCAGCCTCTCGAGGAGGAGGCGAACGAGAGGATTACCTGCTGCTATCACCATAGCCTGCGTACACGCAGGCGGTTCCTGCTCTAGCTCAAGCACGTCCTGATGGCCGGCGCAACCGACATGCCTGTGCAAAAGGGTCCCAGGGCCCGAGCCACAGACCTGACACTCCTGTCGAGAGGACAAGCCGAGCTGATACTGCCTGTCTTGCGGCCATTGGCCGCCCGAAACAACACTGACTACGTAGGCTCTTTCATGCGCTCTCAGCTTGGACATGCCAGCCTTGATGGGAGCGAGGAAAGGGCCTTGCTCAAACTCGGGCACCTGAAGGTGGTTGGCCACCTTGCTCCAAAGCCAGCTCTCGACGACGGTCTCAAGGACAGTTTTGACCGCACGGGGACACAACGCCTCAACCGAGAAAACGCCCACGCTGGGATGCTGCCACTCGAGACCGTTCATCTTGATACCTAGTCGCATGGCCGTGGCGACAGCGGCTGAAAAGGGCCCCGAATGGCTTGCCAAGGAGAGCCGTGCAATTGAAGTTTCTGCCACGCGCCTTCGAGGCCTTGCACCACCACCCCTCTGGGCACCCAACCGTCCCAGAGCGAGGTAGCGACAGAAAGAAGAGGAGAGACGTTGAGGTGATACGCAGGATCAATACGAGGGATGCCGGACAACTGTAGCATGAGAGTGATGGAGCGTCCTGCCACTTTCTGCGACTGCACAGACGCCTGATGAAAGCGAGCCTGCGCAAGCTCTCGCCCGCTGCTGCCCATCACCCCCGACCCGTATGAGGTGGAGGCCTGAACGGCGGCGCGAACCATATGATGCACTCGCCTCTTACATAACTTGCTAGACAAGCTGAGAATCTTTCTGTGACGCACCGTCGCGGCAGTGAAACGACCAGGTTTGGTGTGTCTCATGATCGCACTTCCTGCAGCATAATCGATTCCAAGATTGCGCTCACTCTGCACACTGAGCACACTCTTGGCTTTGAGCGCAAAGGCTAACTGCGCACGAAGCCGTGGACAGCAAGCGAGCACGCGAGACTTGGGTTTGCTAACTGGAAGATGCACAGCATCCAGCTCTTGGTGGAGCATACGCGCGGCTTGCACTAGAGTGTCTCGCACCTGCTCAGAGGATCCGACCCTGTTCAACCCCGAGTCGTCAACCACCACTCCGATCTGAACCTCTCGAGCAGTGCGGAGGGGGAAGGCTGCTTGCACCGCGTCATGCGGGGCGAGCAGCACCAACTCCAGCATGACGGTGGCGAAATGTCAACCTGAGAGCACGGCCTTCTCGGTGCGGATGGGGGCCGAGGTGGCCCCAGCATGGTCCAGGACCCGCGGAGCCCGATACAGGCTCACCAACAACCGCAACTGCCGAAAGGGGAATCCCGTGGCTCGAGCCGCCTTGAGCAGCTCTCCGTGCCGAACATGTTCAAAAGCTTTGTGCAGGTCCAGCAGGGCCGTGCCTGCAAACAGGCCGCGCCCCTGAGCCCACTCGGCGAAGGCAGCTTGAACCCAGACAAGCCGACCCGAGCCCCTCCCCCGAGCCGACCACCAGAACTCCCGAAAGTTCTGCTGCTGCCAATGCCGAGTGAGGGGGCGGCGAAGGCGCCCTTGCACTCTGGACGTGACATGCATTAGAGCTATGGGCCTCAAGCCTCCCGTGCGCTTCAATATGAAGACCACCTTTGACCACAGCCGTGGCCAGTCAAAGCTGCTCTCGATAGTGAAAATTAGCTATCGAAAGCACTCGAGGCCTTCGTCTGGAAGCTCAAGCAACTGACGGGGCGAGATCTGATCGTAGCCAGCACCGCTGCTGGCTCGAAAGCTTCGGAGACGCGCTTTGAGGTCATCCAGATTGAAATCGGGCAGGTGAGGGCCCATATCCGAGGGCCACAAAAGCGGATCGGCCAA